TATGTTGTAGGAAGTCTTAGATATGTCAACAGAAGTTTTATAGGTGGCGCATAAGTATTTTTGAAACACTTGGCGTTCCATATTTTCGACTTCATTCCGAAGTATTCTCAAGGTTAGCAGAGGTAAGATTTTACAATTTAGATGATATTGAAACATTACTACATTCGAGTAAACCCATTTAAATGTCTAATAGATATTGCAAGCTGCTTTATCGCCGTGTTTTGATTCTCTTATTTCAAAGTTTATTCGAAACTTATAACTAAATATCACTCCATTCAAGCAACATAAAATATTCACTTGGCTTGTTCGCTCTTCGAATTTTGTCGATTTCTCCAGTTTTTTGAAGAACTCTGGTGTTATATTCGATGGGCGAAGACTAAATTTTTAGCGTGCAGTGGATGTTAACAGAGGTGGGTGGGGAGATCTGTACTTGGACTTGGGTTGGAGCTAAAAGTTTTCAAATCTCCATACAACTTATACAGATCATTTTAGCACATTCACCCACCTATCTCAGGTTTTGCTAGGTCGATTTCTTTTTATGTTTCTACTGAAAAAGCTGAGTAAACCAGAACCTTAAATCCTCATCTAGCACCTGAAATTATATGAGTTATAACGCTCTAAGTTGAGCTAAATGGCCTAGCGGTTATTTAAAGAGCTTCGGTGAAATAAGCTTAGTGTTTTGATGCGGAAACACAGTGTTATGGTAATTTTTCATTTCAAATATGTATTTGGATGTATTGGTTAATTAGAATTGTAAAAGATAGGGTTGTATGTCAAAATACAAGGCAATATATGGGGGGATGGGTTAATTGATTATTGCCTTAATCAATATTGCCACATTTTGTGACATGTGAAGGAAACCTTCATTTGACATTGGTTTCTAAGGGACCATTCATTTTTTATCAGGGAGGGGTGGGGTGCACTTGGTAACACATACCAGAGGTCTGACCCCCCTCTACACTGTTGCATAAAATTCATAATTATCACAACTCATGATGGCAGGAGGCACATAAAGCCTTTCTTCCTTGTTTTATATTCTGTTTATCAAAAGTGTTATGTGATTTTTAGTATGCACATGGTCCCCCTCTTGAACCTGATTTGCTTAATAATACCTCCCTCCCCTCCCCCCATCCAAATCCCACTGTTCCCATCCCCAGTAAAAAAAATGTGCTTTACTTAAGCAAATTAAAGTAGTAGCAGTTCCCTGTTGTACAACAACAACCTTAAATGAAAATGAAAATGAAAACTAAATAAAAATAATAAATACACAATAGTAATTTATATATTAATATAGATTATATGTAATAATTGTAATTGCACAAAAATTACCATTTAGTTAATCCGTTACTACATGAGGTGAATATATTTTTTGTATCAGTAGCAAGGCTGTCAACATGTCAACCAAATCAAAAGAAGGAGAAAGCATTTACCGCATCCCTCCATACTATTACATCCATGTTCTGGATCAGAACACCAATGTCACCAAGGTGGAGGTGGGCCCAAAGACTTTCATCCGGCAGGATAATGAGAAGGTATATAGACATTGTAAAATCACCTATTCTTTGTATCATATAATATATTTGTCATATTGGTATTTATTCTAAAGTGCAATACAAGTCCAGGATTTTCACTAGTGGTATTCAAACTGGTTAATTGAACACCACTGAACTGAACTATATAAACATTCTTTTTTTTCATATAGAGAGAATAAGAGAAAAATATCAAATGCCCAAGGCATTCATATAAGTGTTTGGAGTGGGTCAATACGATGGAAACTGTCCCATTGACTTCACTAATGCTATTCCTTGGAGAACTAAACTATATACCCATGCCGACACATTTGAAACCAGAAACTAGTGCTAAACTTCAACAAAAGTTTGAAGATCCCCTTTTTTCACATTTTTGAAATTAATAATAAGAAATTTCTGCACWCACTTAGCAGTATGTATTTTTGTTGTTAACCTCCCCATGTAGGTCATTGTTGGACCAGAGAAAATGATAACCATTCCTCCTCRTCATTACTGCATTATTGAGAACCCAGTACTGAGGGATCCTAAAGAAGGAAAGGTGATAGTGGATGATTATGGGCAAATAAGGTTACGACATGCTGATCAGGTAATCAATGATCATACTCAAATTTTTGTTATGTAAGTCCACATACTTAATATTAGTAAGTATAACTTTAATATAACTTTATTGATAGCTGCTGGGGGGCCTTGAAACCACTTGTTTATGTAACTGTAGGTTTTGTATGCGTAGGATAGACATACGTTCACGTTAGGGTGATATTTATCACAATGCTGTTTTAAAACTGCATGCACTCAGTATTATATACAGTCATTATTTCAACATGTTTTAAAATTCTCCATCAGGAAATCCGCTTAGCCCAAGACCCATTTCCACTGTTTCCTGGTGAGGTGCTCAAACTTGGTTGCTCTCCGTTAAGAATTGTTATGGCCAATTCTGCTCTGCGTCTCAGGGCTGTTCTGGACTTTGAAGATGAATCAGGGGAAAAAAGAGTTGCTGGAGATGAATGGCTGTTTGAAGGACCTGGTATAATATGTCTCCATAATTCATTCATTAAACTACAACAAAATTTTTGAAAAAAATAAAAATATGGATTTGGTAAAGCAATAAGAAAAGTACTATATCCAACAACTATGTAGAACTATAGTTCTTTCAAGATGCTTTTCAAAATTAATTCTGTTTTTAACCATGATTTCACCATATCTTAGCTTTAATTTTTTACATTACATATTACATAATTGAACTTCTAATATTTCAAAACTTCTTTTGCTTGATTTAGGTACTTTGATTCCCCGTAAGGAAGTAGAAATTATTGAGACTGTCCGTGCCACTGTAATTCAAGCGAACCAGGCCATAAAGTTACGAGCAAGAAAGGAAACAAGGGTATACAATCATAATTATAAAACTTTCTTTAACTTTAAACTTTTTAAGAAAAATTATAAGGCTTATATATTTATTGGTTTAACTTACTATAACCATAGTATGAAAAAATATATTTTGATATAAATTGGCTCAGCAAAGACAGAAAAACAGTGCATAGATCTATTTAAGTGAATGATATTAAAGCTATAACTGTAATTTCATACTTCACATAATGATTAATGTTCATTAGAGAATAATCTGTTACAAAAAAGGGGGTCATGACTGTCTTAATCCTCCATGAAAATATATCCCGCTTGAAGGCTGAAGTCTAATCCTCAAATTATGTTCAAAATCATTTTATCTTCTTTTACTCCATGGTAATGTAGGACCGAGAAGGACACCTGCGAGTCACAGGTGAGATCTGGCTGGTACGAAAAGTAGGTGCATATCTGCCTGGAGCTTATGAAGAAGTGGTTACTGTTGATGATGCTTTTGTCCTTACCGACAAGGTATACTACATCTATTACTATACTTACACAGTTTATTTTATTATTCTTTGATATCTGGCCAGGAGTGTTTACCATGGTTGTAGTGACTTACATTTTTCAGTCCAGTTGCGTCATTCCCTAGAGTATAATTTCTTTGTTTAATGGATGCACATGGAGACACACAAGGCTAAAATTAATGGCCAGTCATTGAACAATGTCCGGCCAGAATTAAAGCTTGTCCAGTCAAATCTTTGCCTTGCCATTCATTTTGACCAGCAAATGTTATGATCAAGCTAAAACTAATTTGGACAGTGTTTATGGCCAGTGACTGACCCGACGTTATCTTTAGTCCTGACAAAAGAATATGGATACAACTTATTAATATAACTTGTGGATATGAATAAATCTTATTCTCAAGAGAATGACACAACTGGTCTGAAACAGGAAAAGATTACATGCAAGCTAAGAAGTCCTCTTAAATATGCATGATTTATGTCCATGGAGTACAGCCATTGGTGTGGAATTATATAGTAAATTCTTATGCTTCTTTTGTTAAACAGTTAGCACTCCACTTGGTAGCCACTGGTACATTCAAGGATGTGTATGGCATAACCAGGAAAAATGGTGAAGAATGGCTAATCACTAAGAATGAAGCAGAGGCCCACATACCTGATGTTTATGAAGAGGTTTCCTTTATACACTATTCAATTGAACCCCCCACCCCTACTACCCCCAGGAAAGGGCGGGGAATTCAACATTAAGGTAGTGTTAGGTTTAGCATTTTCGCCTGGTCCCCGGAGAAAGAATAGCCATTAAAATTGTTAAGCTCTTGAAGTATTCACTAAATTCCCCATTTTCCCGTGCATTCACACTGTTAAATGCTTGTTCTCGCCAGCCCCCAGGGGGGTTGTGGAGTAGGGGGTTTCAATATTGACTAGTGTATTATACACTATTAATCCAATTGTATTTGTAACTGCATCTTTTCATTTAAATTTTAGTTTTTATTCCAAAACTTCCTGTTCCTATTTTACACGAAATAAACCCCCCTATGGTAAAAACACTATTTTTTTAAAACCATGTACCTGAACTAGACATGCACCTAATATAGCATTTATAACAAATTAAACTCCCAATTCTCGTATACCCTGAAAGTCTTCAATCTTGTTCTTTATCTTTAGGTAAAAGGTCTTGTAGATATCACAACCCTCAACAATCGCCAATACTGTGTCATCCTGAACCCGATAGGTAAAGATGGCAAACCTCAGCTAGGACAAAAGAAGCTTGTCAAGGTAGAACAGTCAATTATTTTTTGCTTTTTATTTTATACAACGGTTTTATCGCTTTTAAATATCATTAGTATGAGTCCTGCATAATATTACTTAACTTGTATTAAGCATGTCCTGACCAGCATTAGGTTATTGTAATAGATCGTTTGGTGAACTAAACCCTCCATTTTGTAAACCATCTTCACCTCCTTTACTTGACAGTCCTTCGCTTTGCAGTCGCTTTTGGCGCGAAAACAGACGCGTCCGTTCAGACCATCCGGAAGTCAGGACGCATAGGCATCCGTTGCATGGAGCTATATATTTTTTAAACCATTTTTATAATTATTTTAAAGTATTCTTAAAACCCGGGAGTCAAAATAATCCTTAACCATAAAAAAGATGTAATGTACGTTTGTTTCATTCCTCCAGGGTGAAAAGTCGTTTTTCCTCATGCCCGGTGAAAGTCTTGAACGTGGTACGCAGGATGTTTACATCTTGGGTGAAGATGAAGGACTCATCCTCAAGTGTAATGAAGCCTTTACTGATACTGATGAAGACGAGGTTAACACACCAGAGGTTTTGCAATCGGCAGATGACTCGGAGGATGACCTTTCTAAATATATTGTAAAGAAAATCAYGCGAAGACCAGGAGACCGGTGGATGATTCGTGGGCCCAGTGAGTACATCCCTCCAGTTCAGGTGGAAGTGATAGATAGACGGAAGGCCATCCCTCTGGACAACAACGAAGGTATTGCTAATGAAGTGGAACCTTGAACAGGGGATGCAGGGGTAGATATAGCATTTTGAGTTGGCGGGTTCACCAGAAAGGAAAACCTTTTTAGTTTTACTATACAAAAGAAAATGAGTTCATTTTATCTTAGTTTTGCATTTCCGAGATAATCTAAATAAGATGAGGGATAGTTCAGCAAAGGCACACGAGTTGCTTGTAATTTTGACAAGAAAAAATGAACTGTGTGTGACACAGGTATCTACGTGCGTGATATAAAGACAGGAAAAGTACGCGCTGTTTGTGGCCAAACGTACATGCTGACTCATGACGAAGAACTCTGGCAGAAGGAGCTCCCTCCCGTCGTCGAGGAACTAGTGGTTGGTGGGAAGGATCCTTTGGCTGATAGGGGTACTCGCGGTTCTTCAGCCGATGGAGGTAATGTAGGAAAAACTGACATTAAAGAATCGTTGTGGGAATATTGCAGATTCCGTGAATTTTAGCYTAAGTTTGCAGGGTAAATAGCCCCTCCCCCATCCCCCAGTCTCAGCATGCACAGTTGAAACTAAGAGTCTATTTATTGTTCTGGCATGCATTTTTCTGGTGTATTAAGTAGATCGATAAATTAAAAGATAGCTGTCGCAAACTTTCAGGGCGCTCGAAGGGACGCAATAAGACAAGGGTCATCACTTTCAGAGTACCACACAATGCTGCTGTACAGATATACGACTATAAAGAAAAGAAAGCCAGGTAAGCTGATAGGTACAAAATGGTCCTAATTTAGCAGGGCAATAAAGTAGCACAATATCTATCCTTTTTACAGTTCCGTTCAGTGACCAAGAATGAAATTTCCAAGTTGAGGTTGGACTGACTTTCCGCGCATCGGCAAAACTATAGTTTATCATGCGCGGTAACTCCAACCTCGACTTGGAACGCTATTATTCGTGGTCACAACTGAACTCGTGTAAGATGGAGAGATGGAGTATTCACGTCTTGCTATTTTCAGACTCCAAACGTGAGAAGTTGTATAGATTGCAACATACATATTCTACTTCCATTTCTAAATTGAGATTTGTGTCGCCTTTTACTCCTCTGCTTCCATGGCTGTCCCACCTGTCGATATAATTTTTTCTTTTTCGTACAAAACTGAAAGATGAACACCAACTGAGGGAGCGTAACAAATTTGATTGATTGTAGGTGTGTGTCTTTGAGCCTTTATTTGTCGTATACTGTACCTTTCTCACACGGCAACCATGTTGGCTCAAACAATAGATTTTAGCCCCGCTGGCCTCGCATTCAAGCGCTTCAGGTTTAGGTTGAACGGGAAGAAACAAAGGATTTATGGGATCTATAGGATCATTGAAAGAAAAAGGCTTCTTTTAGGTTTCTTATAGTCTTTTTTTCCATTCATTCAATCTGTAGAGTAATCTTTGGTCCCGAGTTAGTCATGCTTGGGCCTGATGAACAGTTCACTCAACTTAGTCTTTCTGGTGGAAAACCCAAGAAACCCAACGTCATCAAGGCCTTGTGTCTTCTTTTGGGTCCGGATTTCTGTACAGATATTATTGTAGTGGAGACCGCTGACCATGCTAGGCTTTCGCTTCAGCTCTCGTACAACTGGTAAGTTACATCAATACATGTGAACTCTTTTTCGGCCAGCGAACTCTATATAAATATATACTTTGCGATCATTTWAAAAATTCAAAGGGTCAGCTGTACGTGTGTTGGAAAAATTGGATGCAGTAGTGAATGCGAAAAGGGTTACTGGGAAAGGGAATGGGAATAGGAATGGGAAAAGAATAGCCATTATGGATTTTCTGGACCGACATTTATAGAAAAGTAAAAATTGTAAAGAATTGTTGCATTTGTGGAGAACAACGAAGCCAAGTTAGCATGTTTCAATGTAGATATATTTTAGGATTTACTTCTCTGTATCTTTCTCTTCGAAGGCACTTTGATGCTTCAGACAAAAGTGACAAAGAAGCTGCAAAACTGTTCTCGGTGCCTGATTTTGTTGGAGATTCTTGTAAAGCGATTGCATCCAGGATTCGTGGTGCCGTGGCTGGCGTACAGTTCGACGATTTCCACAAGGTAAAACATCTGGTTATCTAAATTCTGACCACTTTTATTTTTACAAAATAAATTAGGGTAGATCGCGAGAGGTGTGGGTAATCTTACGATAATTTTTTAAAATTCTTTTTTCTCTATCTTAGAACTCAGCTAAGATCATTAGAACATCTGTGTTTGGATTGGATGAAAATCTCAAGATCCGAAATCGGTTTTCATTTCCTGCCAACAAATTGTACATCACCAGTATAGACATCCAGTCTGTCGAACCAGTAGACCAGAGAACCAGGGACGCCTTGCAGAAATCTGTACAACTTGCTATCGAAATCACTACCAATTCACAGGAGGCTGCTGCAAGGTGAGCTAGCTCCTTCATATCACGCCTTTCGTAACGTCGGGCAGATAACTTAGGTAACATCATCTTTCAAAAGTCACAAATAAATGGGGTGCAAAAGCCAACCAACAGATACTAAAACTACAAGTTATCATTTTGATCTTGAAGGTCCAGCAAGTATGAGTCTAAATCTCCAATATTTGATTCTCAATCATGCAGGCCTCTCTATCATCCCTCTCAGAAGTATTCCTCTTCAATTCATAGTGCCCGCATATTGTAAAGCCAAGCAGCGTGCGGTGTCTTCTGAGGTGCGCTCACAATGACGTAAATTACGTTCATGACGCTATGGCTGGCTATGAATCACCGCAGAAAGTAATAGGCTAACCCTCTCTATGCCAATCTATCTAACATTGTTAATTTTTCTTTTTTATCGCGCAGACACGAAGCTGAGCGCCTTGAACAGGAAGCAAAGGGTCGGCTGGAAAGACAGAAAATTACCGATGAAGCGGAAGCCGAACGATCCAGGAAAGAACTTTTGGAGCTTCAAGCGCAAAGTGCCGCAGTAGAGTCTACTGGTCAGGCTAAAGCAGAAGCGCAATCCCGTGCAGAAGCAGCGAGAATCCAGGGGGAGGCGGCTGTGCAGCAGGCCAAACTGAAGGCAGAAGCCACAAAGATAGAAGCAGTAAGTATCAAACAGTATGGTAAGCATGGGTGGCGTAGCGGTCAGAGCACTCGCCTCTCACCAATGCGAGCCAGGTTCGATCCTCGGACTCGTCACGTGAGTAGAGTTGTTTGTCGTTTCTCTCCTGTGTCATATGTGAGTAGAGTTGTTTGTCGTTTCTCTCCTGTGTAGTATGTGAATAGAGTTGTTTGTCGTTTCTCTCCTGTGTAGTATGTGAGTAGAGTTGTTTGTCTTTTCTCTCCTGTGTCATATGTGAGTAGAGTTGTTTGTTGGTTCTCTCCTGTGTAGTATGTGAGTAGAGTTGTTTGTCGTTTCTCTCCTGTGCTTTGAGTGTTTTTCTCCGGGTTCTCCGGTTTTCCTCCCTCCGCAAAAATTTACTTCTAAATTTTGATTCGATCTATAGAAAGGGCRCATGTGAGCATATGCAATGCGCGTTACAAATATCAAAGTTTAGCTTAGTTTAAACAGTTGCACATTAGTCATATGCATAATTAACTTGCGAAGCTGCTCCAGTTGAATTTCAGTTTCTAACACAAGCACTCGCCATTGCGCACTGATTAAACCTCCACCTTTATTCAGAGCAAATTCGTAGCATCCGTGTTTGTGCGGTGATCAAATTTTTCAGGTGCAGAAAAAATCAAACAAAACATCACGATCGCGTAACATTAGTGTGTTGTAATTTGCAGACCAATCATCTTGTTGCTCAACTTTATTTATTTTGTCAGTTCTAAAAAGAGTTCTAACTCTACTTCTTGCGCCATAAAACTACCAAGCTTTTACTTGATTTCACAGCGTTTTCTGGTTTTTTTTATGCAACCACCTTGGCGCAACTCTCTTTACGCTCGTTCAACTTAAGTAAGTTTCTTTTTTTCAGTGCAGAATGTGTTTCAGAGCAAACTTTGCATGACTGTAAAAAAATAATATAATATGTACGAGCCGTGCCGTGACGTCCAAGCATTTTGATTGGATGTTACGTCTACTTAACTTACGCGCTGTAATTGGTTTACGCGCTGTGACGTTTCCATTCTCACAYAAAATCCACTTTCAAACATTTTCAGCTGGTTGCATGATTTCCTACCTTTTTTCCTTTCTTAGGAATCAGAACTTGAACGTTTAACAAAGAAACGAGATGCAGAACTTGGCTATCTAAGCGAGCAAAATAAGCTGGAGATCTCAAAAGCAGAAGCAATGGGCACCATTGAGGCTGAGAAGTTTAAAAACATGGTTTCGGCCATCGGAGCAGAAACCATTCAGGCTATTGCTACAGCTGGCCCAGAGATGCAGGTTTGTGATTGGTCTGTTTAATTTTCCAGGAGTTGTCTCTCTTGGTTTGTTATCAGGTTGATGCAATTTATTTTATTAATAAGAGCGTTGAATGTACGATATTTAAGTACGGCGAGTGACGAGTATCTGGCACCAGGCTTAGAGGTGGGAGCAGGTACCTACCCTGTCTTACTGGGAAACGGTAAACTCCCGATAACCCTCCTAGGTAGTCGCACCTGAAAGTCGCTTAAAGGAATCGAGAGGTTAAAAACATTCAACCTTCCCCTGCTGGGCATCACCTTCCGCCAATCAGACGTTTTGATCGTGTAATCATAGAAACTGGTTCAAGATTATAAACTAACTACCAAAATTCCGCATTTTCAGGCTAAACTTCTGCAGTCCCTTGGCCTCAAGTCTACACTCATCACGGATGGCAGCTCACCTGTTAATCTGTTCAGCACAGCTCAAGGGCTTATCGGTGCACTTGGCTCCCCTGAATAAGGCTGATAATATCACAGTGAAATGTAATACACGAATCATTATCAGTACAATAGACCGGGTGCTTAGTAGTACATTGTTGGACTGTTTTATGGGACGAAATAGACGCCATCTTGGAAATAATTATGTCCTATAAAACAGACCCACAATTCACTGCAATGCTAATCTCGGAATGACCTTTTAAGTGATTTGTAGCAATTTTTACTAGTTTTCATTCGTTTTTCTACACTTACATTCAACATTTGAGCGCAGTTGCACCATGTATCGTCCACATGGGTTGGGAAACAATGGCTCCATTCATGTTTAAACGAATTGGATAACATATGAAAAACATCAGTCTTAGAGAGCACTTGTAAGGTAATCGTGATGTTTGTCACAGATTGCTTCCATAAAAAAAACCTTAATACGGTAAATTGTTAAATGTGATGATAAATTCTAAACATGCAGGGATTCTTTTGAGTTGCAAAAAAAAAAGTAAAAGCAACTATATGTTGGTTATTTTTTTTATAATTTAACTTCGAGGAAACCAATGGTGCGCACCCCCGCTTCCCTTAATTTTCCACCTTCAGTGTTCCATTTATTTGGACGGACGGACAGATGGCGGAATAATAAGAAAATATTGGTAGAAATGATAGTCAGTTGAACATTTCATACAGGAGAACCTCGGYATYATGCTAGAATTTTAATATCTCAAGCGTAGCATATTGTAGAGGTTTTCTTTGGTGGTAGCGGATTAAGCCACACTGAATGAATAGGAATGGATAGATAAATGAATGGAAACATTAAGTGTGTACGGTGAATCAAATTGTATCCCTGTCTTAAGCGACACTAGCAGTTTCTAGAGTAAGTAAGAAGCGGTGGATCTAGACAAGAGGACGAACAGCTTACTCTAGATAAAACGAAAGAAGCCAGCCGACCTTCTACCGATGAATTTCATTCAGCTGCTCTTTAGCTTCTCTTTTGGCCAACCCCGAGGGCTCCATTTAGTCAGCCGATATATACACCGATTTGTTTTGTCGTGTATCGCGACTCCTAATGACAAATTTAACATTATCAAATTGATAATAAAGAGGAAGCAGTTGGGCCAGATATAAGAGGCTTATCTAAGAAGATAAGAATCTAAATTGCATTTTTGTCACCGCCCCAATTTTATCTGAACCAGACAGATCGAGAGCTTTTGTCGCAGGGTGTTTAACTGAATACGCTAAAAAATTGAAAACCTCGTTCGGAAGATTGACAAAAGACCTAACGAAATGTTTTTTTCAACTCCTAAAAGTTAAAATATTTTAGCAGATATAATGAAGTAAACGTATACCGCGCGCCAAGCGAAGATTGAAAACGAAACAATCGGTTATTCTCGAATTGAACCGAATTAATTGAGGTGGAAAAAGTGAGTTGGAAGTAGCATAATCAATATGAATACCCATTCATTTAATCAAATGGTCAACAATTGGCTCAACAAGCAAACAACATTTCGCTTTTGTGACCCTTTGTTTACTCAAGGTTAATGGATTTTYCCCCATCGTTTCTAGACGACAATTTCATCTCTGTTCAATATACATACGTAGTAATTACATCAATAAAATCAAATCCGGGTACTGCATGAAATATATATTCTTGAATATATAACGTTCAGGCAAATCAATTAAGAGCTATAAAATTTTGTTGTTTATGCCGTAAAATTCAAATGTCTTGATACAGTCAATGTCATTAACGTTGTCCACCCAAAAAAGACATTTAGACATTTACACATTTAGACTAAAAGAAATATCACGTGTTTCCTCAAATGTTCTGGCATAAAACAAACACTGAAGTACAATTCTCCATCTTAAATCCTCACTAAATGGTCAGGGCATTCTGGATTTTTGATTCACGAGTTGAATTTCACATTTAAAGTTCAGGCTCACTTTAGTCTAAATGTGTAAATGTGTAAATGTGTTAATGTGTCTTTTTTCGGTGGACAACGTTAATGACATTGACTGTATATATAAGGCAACAGAGGAGGTTAGCTTGAAAGGATCGTTGTCTGTGGGCTATTAGATGTGACACAAAACAACTGTCAGAGGGGGATGTGCGGTATTGAGCCCATCTTTTCATGATTCCGTGCCGTCTATTGAGTTCATTCGTCAGACTGCAGAATAACCATCGGAAAGAATGCGGTAGCAACGTAATGTAATAGGCCAATGTTATCAGTTTGAAGTCTAGTTCCTGCCGGGAGTCGCCGCTTCGATTCATGGCTCCTCAAGGGAATGGATAAATCTTCGACAAACTCCTTGAATTCAAGAAGAAACTTTAAATTACCGCCGATTCAAGGCGCGCTACCGACCACATTATACGGAGATCGGGCTTGGAAGAGCAATAACAAGCCTTCACTATCGACCCATGGTTCTATTCAACCACATGTTCGAATCAAGGAGTCGATTCCAAGCCGTGACTTTCATTCTTTACATCATGCAACCTTACGAAAGAGAGTCGATCCTTTTGCGAAGAAGACGACCACACTTGCATCGTCAAGACAACACACCGCAACAGTCGAGTTCAACTTGGGACATGAGTTTCCAAAATCCTATTCGGTATTACCGCCAATAAGTAAAGATACACGGACTAAAGATAATGAAAATTCATGTTTGTTATCTGCTACTAAGATAAATCCAGTTAAGAGGGAATCGAGAACGACCGATAAGAAATATCATAGCACAGCCAGTGAGCTGTTATCAGAGCGGAGACGAGTGAGACTTTTAGAGAAGCAACAAGCACAAAATGGTATCGAACAGGATCAATGTGGCGCTAAGACCGAGTCTCGAAGCCGAACCCACAAGGAAACTGAACCTTATGCTAAAACCTCGAAAACCGAGGAAGCAAAAGAGACTGTGAATCGTAAACCAAGTGCTACGTACTTATTATATATCAAAAGCAATAGAAAAGATCGAAGAGGAGGGGTCTGTCCTGAGAATGAAAGCGGCTTGATAAATGTCACAGAACAGCTCAAAGAGATCTTTCTCAGGCGCAACATGGAAGAAATGTATTTAATCTAAAAAGCAGTTGTCCATTCTACTATTTTAGCTCCGACAGGTGCGAGATGTCTTGGGTTTGAACTTTGTTTGTTCAACGACACGGGCTATCAGTCTGTCAGTCGTAAAAACGGCTTAGAAAATTTTGAAGTTTTGATCTTTGTTGGTCTACTAAAGCCGCCGGATTTTGGACACCAGATATTGAAAAACCTTACCGGTGGCTGACCTCTGATTACGAGGAACCTCATCACTGGACTGAACCAATATCCGACTGATGATCTATCTCACTTAGGCTGGGATAACTAACAATATCAAAGTATCATGTTCACATACATATTTATACTATATTATGGAAGCATGAGATTGTACTGTAAAAACGATAACCTTGAGAAAGAATTGATGATAGCTCCGATCAATACTCTTCTCTGACTAGCTGTCAGTCATCCAGGATTAAACTGTGAAAAAGGCAACYGATCTTTCACGACCAATAAACCTAAAACTGGTTTTGCTATCTTCTAAAGCACGATTGAGTGATTCACGTTTAATAGCCTCGTAGTTACGATGTTTTCTCTACATTCATCCTAAATAAGCCGCGTTTTGGTCGCTCATGTTCCGGTTGCCACCGTTCACGCCGTCAGACCGTCAAGTTTAATCCTTCTTTTCCGACATAGACCTCATACAAAAACTGCTTAGAAATAGAAACGCATTACCAGTTTCTCTTCAGTGACGGAGAGATGGTACTAACTGTTATTTCCAAGACAAATTACTCAAAAAGCTAACTATATGAAAAAACGGCACGAAAGTATAAAGTTTTTTGTAAATAATATAAAATAATGATTGTGTGGGTGGGTGTTTTCTTTGTAGATAAAACCTGTACTTAACAAACTAAAACGAAAGCCAACAACAACGAAAAGAGAATTTTGCCGTTTTCTTCAGTCTGCCATGAGTAACTGATATTCCGAAGATTTTCACTCATTTTAAAAATTGAAAAATTCAGAGTTTAGGAAAAAAGAATAATTGAATAGATGCCGAGGAGAAAAAATATATAAATTTTATGGTAGGAAACGTGTTTTATTTTCACAAGAAGAAAGAAAAAGAGGACTGAATAGCTAAATGTTCTGCTGATTGTTTTGAAATCAAGTCTGTTAGATGGTTTCCTTGGCAACTACATGGAAGGCAGCTGCGAGAATTGGTGATTCATTGTAGTGAGGAATATAGCCTTTCAAGGAGATATTCTTATAGCATCAAATTTACACTACGATAGAATGAATAAATATTAATAAAAAGAACAGTGCACTTACTTATAGTCCTTTTCAAATTATATGTTATAAATCACTGAGGACATTAAATTGGAACAAAAATTCAAAATACAATAATTAATAGTGTCTACTAATAACATTTTATATCTAAGAACGCCGGAGATATTTCATATCTTGCAATTCATAAATTAATTAAATAAGTCGTAAAACAGGCTGTGTTTTGTGAGAGGTTTACTCATTACGGCACTGAAGAAAAGCACGGTGTTCATCAATTTTTTCAGAAAATTCACACAATGACAATGAGGCAAGGAAAAGTTCAGCCACTGATAAAAGTGGACAGAGTTTTTCATGTAATGATAGGAAAATCTATTTGTCAAAAACAGTGAGCAAGCAGCAATGTTTCTAATTATAGCAACCTCACTAATTCACCTATTTTCATTCCCGATAAAATTGAATAATTTGTTCCTGTACTCATATAGTCTTGGTTCAACTTTACATCTTAAAGCAAATATTAGTTCAGTTGTCGCGTTTCGTTGGTTCATTACGTAGTGTAGCAACCGCCAGAACACYGAGCTAAATCGTTTCTTATACAACTCTTAAAAACTTACAAACATCACTCTTTTAAAAATCCTTTAAAGTTTGGCCTGTTTATTTTTTCAGTATTTTAAATTGTGTTGTATTCATGAAAGCCTCTGATAAAAAAAAAAGGAAACAAGTTTTTTGAAAAGAAAATGAGTGATATTTCCTCGAAAAATCCACAGGAACCCCATCACCATATAATTCTTCTGCTATCACGACACGACATGTAACGAGAAATAGAATATTTGAATTTTCACCAAAACAAAACAACAACAACAACAACAACAACAACAACAACAACAACAACAACAACAACAAAAAAAAAACTCTCACACACACACACAAAACAGAAACAAAAATATGGTTTTGGGGAGGTGTTCGCCCCTACTGAGCGGTAAGCCAGCCGGTTCAGAAAATGTGATTCTGCACGAAGTCTGAAAAGCAAATATTTTAAACCATGAAATCACCTGCTTTATTACTTAAAATGAAAACACAAAATGTCGAACGACTGTGAAAAAAAATCGATAGTAACACTACTGAATCTAATGACCTATTTAGACTCCATTAACACTACTTTATTAATTGTATTGTGTCACATTTATATGGATATATAAGCTATGCCGGATATGTTTTTGTTTCTTTAGTGTATTTAGAGTGGCTCATCAACTGTATTTTCCCCCTGTTTGTAGCATAATTTGCTCTGTAGTCTAGTTTAATATCTTAGTAATCAAAAACTTTTTCTTCATTAATTGCACTACAATTCTCGCCGGTTTTTCATTATCTGACGGAATTAATCTTCAAAGGAGATGATGACCTCCTTTTCAATAACAGCTATAAAAAACTCAGTCACTAGTCGAGTGGGAAGACAGATGACTCTTAGTACAGGGGGACACCCCAGGGTATTATTGATACCCTGTCAACACCCAAAGGCGTCAATCTAGTTCAGTTTCAGACCAATCCATCTGTAATCTTATTTTCTAAGTATTCATAATTGCTGTAACGGTAAGGCAAGAAGTAAGAAGGAATATATAACATTACTGATGCACGAATTGGAAAAAGATTCTTTATCGCGCGCGCGTCCATTCAATCAAGCTCTCTCAACAGCTGGCAACATCATAAGTGCATTGTGGGACGAAAGGGCGAAATAGATGCCATCTTGCCCGTGGAAACAGTCCCACAGTTCACTGCAATAACTACTCGACACAGTTTTTTCCTCACCTCGAAACGGCTAATATTAGAACGTTTCTGAATTCACTTGAGTGATCACGAAACAACAGTTCCGTGTAATAGTGTATGATGTGTTTATACATTTACTATTGCTTCGTGGCCACTTATCAAACGAATTCGAGAAAGTAATTCTGGTATTAAGACGTAACCTAAGGGTAATAGGGAGAATAGAAAGCATATACTAATAAATAAAAAGACATAATATAGAAGGCATAAAGTAGGAGGTTGAGTTGCTTTGTTGCTCACGTTTTAAAGGGATATTTGGTCCGAATCTTTATAGCGGCCATTAAGATCTATTGAGTTCCTTAAAATCTCCTCAGTCACAGCCTTTCGCCTGCACGAAACTTGTGACGACCGATCGATCGATCCACCGACCAACTAACCGACCGGCTCACGATGACTTTTTAACAAAAAAAACTCAGTCTAAGCCCAAGTCTTTTTTCTGTTCCAATCTTCAAAAACCCAACCAACAAAATAATGATAACAATAATGATGTCTTTATTGCCTAAATAAAATACATATTCACAATTACAAATAAACAAAACAATACAAAACAAAACAAATATAATCGATCTTAAAAGGAGTCAACTTATTTACCTAGATGTTGATAAAATCTTTAGATTAAAATTTTTAGCAAAAAGGCTTCGTATAGGTCTAAACTGACTCTTGCTTTGGATAAACAAATTGAACTAAGGGAGTCGACTCTCAACTTATAAAAATCTTTATTGATTTCAGTGTTGTCGTAGCGGCGGTTGCTAGAAAATTTCGTTAACTATGGTTTTCTGTAAGGTGTGAGCTATGACTGACCTACGCTGAATCTTACTTTGAACAAATAAGTTGAACTAATATGAACTAATCAAAAGAAGTCGACTTATTCCCCAAAAAATTTTTATTTAGTCTTGTCAAGCAGTTGCTAGAAACTTTTGATGAAAAAGGTTTTATTTAGATATAAACTATGGCATAGGCTTCTCTTTTTGTCGATCTACATTGAATTTCGCTTTGCCAATAAACGAATTGAACTAAGGGAGCTCGAGTCAACTCATTTCCTATCGAACAAAAAAATACGAAGTGACTAGACTAATTAAACGTCCGGCAGCCGGACACGGTCTTCATATCAAAAAAATATTCAGTCTTGTAGAGGGTGCTAGAAACTTTTGATGAAAAAGGTTTTCTGTAGGTATGAACAATGACATTGGCTTCTCTTTTTGTYGACCTCCACGCTATAACTTGCCGTTTGAATAAACGAGTTGAACTAAAGAACACGACTTATTTCCTAAAGAAAAATCTTTATTCAGTCTTGTTAAGCAGTTTCTAGAAACTTTTGATGAAAAAGGTTTTCTTTAGGTGTGAATTATAACTCTTTTTGTCGGCCTACGCTAAATTTTGCTTTGAATAAACAAAATGAACTAAAAGAGTCAACTCATTTCCTATCAACGAAATTTTTTCAGACTTGTAGCGGGTGCTAGAAACTTTAATAAAAAGGTTTTTTTGTAGGTGTGAACTATGACCTACATGCCATTTAACATGTAAGAAATGAGACACCTGGAGACATTTAACCAACATCACAAAATAATTTAATTTCATTTCAAGAATACAAACTTTTTGCATGTCATAAAATAACTCTTGAAGAAAACCTTTTTTGAGCATCAGTAAAATGAAAATATACTTGTTTTTTTWAAAATGTTTTTCATCATTGTTGAACTTACTTTGCAAAGGAAGCTTCATCAAAGTTTTGTATAATAATGGCAGCCTTGTTSGATGAGACAAAATAAGACAACTTTAAATGACAAAGAATTCAAATCCTTAAGGAAAGAGATTGCTATTTTGCTATCCAACATGATCGGCAGCACCTAATCATGCAAATCCCTATATGGCATCTTTATGATTTAAACTTGAAAACAGATATAGGATTATTCTCACAACAGAGTAGTATTCTGTGGATGTCAATCAAACATGACTGATGGTACCTGACATGAAAATCTCTACGCGAACATCTTTATACTTTTTTGATTAGCAGGCAAAGGAAAATGCTTGCGACAATTAAGTAGCACTTTATGGATGTCAATCCAAGTGTTTCCATGRCAATGTTGGAAAATACAAAGTTTTCAAAAGCAAGGGACAAAGTAAGTATGGTGGAATGTCATAGGAATGCTGTGAATGCTTAGATTATGAAAATGTCAGTTAACACTAACTACAATCTTTCTTACTCTCTTCAGGACAAACACACTGACATATTCCTCACTCAATGGTCCTGGGTTCAAACATCACACATTAAAACATAATTTGTCAAGATAGAAAATTAATATGTGATTCTTAATGTTATTAAAATAAGCATAAATATCTATGCATACGCACAAAAATAGGCAATGATGCTCATATCTTTACCAGTAATATGTTTTTAACTTCAACAATTCCAAGGTAATATCACAGATATGATGACACTTTCTATTTTCAGTCAGAAATTTTAACATCTTCCAGTAGTGTTACAATCTGATCTAGTCCAAGATCTCTAGCAAGATCCAGTGGAGTGACACTTGCAGGAATTCCCATTTTCACTGATGGATCACAACCCAAGGATAGCAACAGGGAAACCATGTCTTTATTCCCTAAGATATAATAAAAGATTAGTGAATCAAATTTTGGCATTAACCATGACTGAAAATAATTTATACTTAATGGCCAGATATATTGACCTGCCATCTGCCAAATCAGACTGACCAACATATGACCTGAGGAGTCAATGTGACTGATCAAGAAGATCAGCCTAAGAGACATTTTTTATTGGCTGTTGTATAAGCTTTGTAAAAAAAACTAGGTAGCTTTTACAATTTATTTATTTTATTTTATAGCTTTTTGCCAATTACAGTGGGTCCTGTAGTGAAGAGTTGAATGTCTAACCAAAGGCAGCACCTTCTCCTCAGTTATTTTAAGACCCTGCGTGTTGGTTAGGCCGGGGCTTGAACCAAGACCTCCCCCACAACAGACCATTGCTCTTACCAACTGAGCTAACTGGGTGGTGGTTACAATATTATAATTGTGATTGGGTAGAAAATTTCAAAATATTATAAATGCAGTGATATTCAAATCCCAAAGCTAGCTTACCACTGATGACTGCCCAGTGTAGTGGTGCTGCACCTTCACATTCACCATTCCAGGAATTCACATTAGCTCCAGCTTCAACAAGTACCTTGACAATGCTAGTGTTACCAGCATTGACAGCAGCATGTAGAGGTGTATTACCAGATGACACTGATCGTCTATTTACATCTAAATTGGGGTGAAACTATAGGAAATATAGAAGCACTATTATCAGGACATTTTGCTAGACAGGAAAGGGGCATAATATTACTTAATTTAGAGGGGGAAGGGGAGAAATGAGTGTTCATGCACTATTGAGTTTTCTTGATTAACTATGTGGGTAGAGCTGACATTTGAAAATGTACAAATTAGTATTAGACTAGCTGGTGTGTATAAAAGTGTAATTTTGGGTCTYAAAACATTAGTACTAGCTTTAAGCCCCCTTCTTTTCTTTGCTCTGCTGTATCTGGAGTTTYGTTGCTTTGACAGGAGCAAAAAGTAAGTCACACAATATCAGGTATGCAGGGCCATAACCAAGGGTGGTGCATTGGGTGCAAGTACAACCCAAAACACCCCCCCCCCCCCCTCTAACCCCTGTAAAAGCTGAAGGTCCAATATTTCGTTTTTGTTTTCCTTCTGCAAATATTGTAGGATTATTATAATTTTTCTTTTTCTTTTTTGTTTTCTTTTTTGCATTTATAGCACTTCTCAAGATGGCTGTTAGTTTAGACATAGTACCATTTCCATTCTCTGTGCACTCACCCTGAAAGACCCCTGGTCATGGCCTGGTATGTAAAGCAGAGATGAGGCAGCTGAAATAACAACTAAAACGGATATGATGCTTTCTTGCCCCTAGCTTATTGTACTCTGCAGGTTACTTACCTTTAGTAACAGTCTCAATATTTCTTCTTGACCACTGAGTATTGCAGCAAACAAAAAGCACCTCCCATCTTCAGTTGTTTCTGTYACTGCTTTCAGTTCATAGTTAAGCATTAAATATTGAAACACTTTAACCAAACCTTTTTCTATGGCCTGAAAAGCAAAATCTGTGGCAAATGAATGAATGTCCTTATTGAGAGAAGGAACTCCTGTGCCTGAGTAAAATTCCAGTGATTTAATTTGCTTGTAGAATGCAATCACACCTGAACACAGGCTCACCAAAGCAAATGCTCTTGTTGCCAAAACAAACTGAACAAACTGTTTATTTGACRTTGAACATCGAACATCCGATAGCAGAGCCTTGTAGCTTTCTTTACGTCCACAACAAAGGCACATAACAAGGTTCAAGAAGAATGCACTCCCTCTAGTGGATGAAAACTTTTGAGGATACTCCCATAAAACTGAACTCATAAAAGTTGACACATCTTGTATCGTCAAATTCTTATCTTCTATTCCTACTCCAAAAGCAAACTTTAACTCATCCATAACTATGCCAAATTCCATAGCAACTAACTCCCATCGCTTACTGGGTGATAATTCTGTTAGCCAGAAGTTTGCAAAGTTGACAAAGTTGTTGTCTGCATGGACCCATGATGTTATGCTATCAACTGTTTGGTTAGAGCGAGACAGCCAGTCACCAATCACAGTTGCATCAAAAAACGACAAGAGAGAATCGATATTTGTCTTTACTGGTTTACAAGAGTCATTTTCTTTCATACTAGATATTGGTTTTAAGGGTCGTTTTAATGATGTCTTGTCTAGTGAAGAGACAGAACCATTTGGACTGCAAGGCAAAGAACCACCTGAACTCGAACTCTCACTGCTTGCTGACTTAGATTTCCTTATTGGAGGCAAAGGAGACCCCCTTCCAGACGACTCTGGAGAAACAGGAGGACTAACTGCAGGTAAAACTTTCGTTTTTGGATATTTTTTGGAAGCCGAGTGCACAGTTGATGTGGTTTCCTTGGGAACTGGATTACAGTCAACTTCGTTGTCAAATTCATTTGGATCCAAAAAAGAATTCATATTATCATCTTCTCCATGATAAGACAGCCTTGACATACATATCAGTTCTCGGAGATCTCTTGTACTCCTACTCATCGTGGATTAGGTCCCTAAATATTTTTCCTATTTTAGTAAAGAAACCGTCCAACGCGAAGCGTCCGCCATTTTGTACTGAATAAAAATAACTAGTACCCAGACTTCCACCTTGCGCGGCGCGTTTTATACAAATTTTTGATAAGAATTAATAAACATATTTTCATCTAAAAAAATGACTTAGCCTTGCATTCTTGCATAACCATTTCCTTTACTGTCTTTCTTCAAGAAAAGAAAAATTCGAAAAATGAAAAATGGGGGAAAAAAGGTACGTTTTGAAATGCTTCCCATAATGCCTAGCGAAGCTTGCCTATATAAAGCTAGGTCATCCACGTGGTCTTTCTCTTGACCGCCATCTTGGTTTGTGAACGGCAAAGTTTTGTGGTTCACCTCTGTTCCAACGAATAAGTCGACCACTTTGAAAAATGGTGAGGTTTTGATTCTATAATTTTTCTAGTTCATTTAATCATCTACTCATCAAATGAGCTAAAACCTGTATGCGAGTGTATAAAAGGCACAATATTGAAGCTTGATTCATTGTAAAGCACTAAGCTAGTTCGAGTTGTAGATGATGGCTAGTAAACACTAGCGTGGACTAGTTACTAGCAACTCCAACACTAGCTAGTTCGAGTTGCTTATTCTTCTTCGTGTTTTGCAGTCCTCTCTTTATAAGGAAAAAGGAGCCGTTCCCGAGGAGGAAGTTCAAATCCACAGGATCCGCATTACTCTTACCAGCCGTAATGTGAAAAGTCTTGAAAAGGGTTAGTATAAATGTAGATTTAATACTATCAAATCAAGAAGTCTTGCCTCCTGATAAGCTAGTGGATAGGACTATCATCTTAGTACTGAATTTTTAATTACTATCGTATATAATAATGATTTACATGTAAATTAGATTTCAAATAATAAATCAAATTATTTTTTTGCTCATAAAATTGAAGATTATATTTCTCATTGCTTGGTATTATTTCTAATTAAAAATGTTATCTCTGTGACTTTAGTCTGTGCTGACCTCATCCGTGGAGCTAAAGAAAAGAAGCTGAAGGTGAAGGGGCCTGTACGCATGCCTACCAAGTACCTGAAGATCACTACCAGGAAGACACCTTGTGGTGAGGGGTCCAAGACCTGGGATAGATTTGAGATGAGAATCCACAAGCGTCTCATCGATCTCCACAGTCCTTCTGAGATCGTCAAGCAAATTGTATCCTTAATGATTTTATCAAACCCTGAAACAACCTCCGCGGCTAAGTCAGAGCATGACTAACTCACAGACTGAACCCTGAAACAACCTCTGGGCTGATCTAAGTCAGGGCATGGCTAACTCTTATATCAAATTGGAATTTAGCCTGTTGGGTTTTGCAAGAGAAGGACCATATGACAAAGAGGCTGGATAAGTAATCTTTATCAGCAACCATGGAAGTGATACTCATATGTCACAGTCATTCCTTTGTATCATATCAATCACAATTGGGTGAACAAAAAAAGGGCCATCAATTTTATGGGGAGGAGGATGGGTTTGGAGGTTTCATCTTACCCTGCTACAAACTTGTCAGTCCTGGTCGAAACATATCGTAACTTCATCTACCATTAGGTGAATCATAATGAATACATAAGAAGATAGTACCACTTGTTAGCAATACCTTGACATTGATTTACAGACATCTATCAGCATTGAACCAGGTGTTGAAGTTGAGGTCACCATTGCTGATGCATAAGTGCAATATAATGTGATCAAACAGACCATCAAGGAAAAATAAAGAAACTTCTCTGATAATTTATTGATGTGCAGTGTATTTATTTTGATGTGGGTTTAAGATAGACTTCATCCAAGACAACTCTCTTCCTTACTTTATGTATTGATTTGCTAGTCCTTTAAATTTACTAGTTGTGAGCAAAGCAAGTGTAATATTTGAGGGGTTTCATTTGAGGTCATGGAGCAACTGAGCGAGCTACAACTGACCACAAAAATAATGTAAAGGACATTGAAAAAGTCTAGGTTTAAGAGGGATAGTATTAGAGACTCTGTGGTCATGTGACACATTCTCACCCACCCATAATGTGATACCACACAGAACTACCTTATAAATCTAATTAAATGAAAGTAATTGCCCTATGACACTGACGTCACATCAAAACAGTCTATTGTTTTAACGCTAAGGATCATAGTTGCCAGAGGGGGCAAAATAGCAGCAAAACGAATTAAATCACGACAAAAAATGGTAATTAGACGGGGAAAGGTGATAACAGATAAATGTTGTACTAAATATTCCAAACGAAAGAAAATTTGCCTAAATTCCTATCATTCTTGCCCATGTAAACAAGCTGTGACGTCATAATGTYATAGGTCAATTTCCAAGGGATTAATCTCTCCAACTAGAGTGCTCACACTAAATCCGTGAAACAAATACTAATTTATTTTTAGCACTAAATAGTGATAATTAAACAATAGAAAACAAAGGATTCTGCCTGAAATAGTACTAATTAGTACTATTTAATGTTCACGGTTTTAGTGCGTGCAYGCTATACTCCTCTGTGGACAACATCTCTTTACACATCACATCGCCCAACAAAGAAACATGAAAAACTGGTCCAAAAGAACAGTTGAACTTTGGGTGGAGGAAGAAAACCCTTGAAAACATAGATGATGCTTATTTTTTGCTTGTAGACTGTTCATATCATTTAGCTTGGGAATCATTCCTGGGTGGGGGTAGTGAAAGAGAAAAAACAAACAAAGAGGTTATCTTTCCCATTTTTATCAAAATTTTTATAGACAGAGAGGATTTAGGAACTCACCAAGAAAACATGTTCGCATTTAATGCATTTAATGCGAACATGTTTTCTTGGTGAGTTCCTAAATCCTCTCTGTCTATAAAAATTTACAATAGCATAGCTATATTTGTACAAGTACTAGCATTAACTTTTYCTCAAGAAGAAGAAGAAAATTTATCCATGCTGTAGCCTGGGAGGGGAGAGTAGAGGCGGCTGTAAAATCAAAAGTCCGGAAATACGTCACACGTTTCATAACCAATAGCATAACTGTATTTACTCACGTGTCATGAACATGCTGGTATGCACGGCTGGCGGGAGATATAAAATCATGGCGTCTCCTGAACGAGTTTGTAGTTGGGTTGATGTCAGAAAAGATCAAGAAAACTACCTCGAAACACCAGATATAATTGACGAAAATACGCCTTTAAGTCCAGGAGAGATAGAAATCATGAGAAACCATTCAAAAATCTCGTCAAAGCTCTGTTCACCGACAAGAAAGACATCAAAACAAAAACCATCTTTCAGAGTTCATGGTTCAYCTCTTGCGTCGACGAAGTTGGTAAAGATTTCATTTAACTTTCTGGAATTGTCTTACCGGCTTTAACTTCGAGCCTACTTTGCTAAGCTGAAACGTGTAAAACTAAGTTATTTGGAATATTCGCGAATCGTTAAATTGAAGTTGGCGGGTCGGGTTGAAGCAAAAATGAACTTGATAATTATTTTTCTAGTACCATCGTAATTTTCAGTTGTTTTTTTGTCTTAGACTACATCCAGTAAAGGGTCTCTAGAGAAACGAAAGACTCTGCAAGTTCTTCAGCCTGCTGCAGATGGGAAAGGACTTCTTGTGGGAAGCTCTGGTATTGTCAGAAGAGAGGTACATTGAGTTCAGAATCATTCATTATAATGGAAAAAAAACTATAGTAAGCTTTTTTATTTTATTTTGTGATGCTGAAAACAAAATTCTTTTTATTGAATTTAAAAGCAGAAGAAAGATACCATCAAATCCAAGTCAAAGACTGTTAAGCTTCAGAAGACACTGAAAGAATGCAGTGAGTCAACAGCAGAGACTAGTTCTGATTCAGATTCAAGTACTCAAAACACTCCACAGGTTTGTACTAGTAACAGATCAAGTTCCCTTGTCTTAACATCATCCTCATTCATTAGAACAGTTTCCTTTGCCATGTTAGCCAAGGTCACAGCACTGCCAGACCAATCACATTGTGCGAGAAAAGAATCAGCCAATCAAAATTCAAGAAAATATCATGGTTGCTTTAGAGGGACACTACCCTGCTAGCAGATATCCTTTTCTACCCCACTAGGAAGCAAAAGGAAAAGAACCTCTGCCAGCACCCACAAATTATCCAGGTGCTGGCAGAAGTTCTTTTCCTCTCACTTCCTAGCGGGGTAGAAAAGGATATCCACGTTATCTATGTGCTAAGAACTTTTAACAGTCATACCAAAAACTGCTCTATTAGTGCCATACAAAAATTTGAAATTCTATGTTAAATGTCAGAGCTCATGCTCAGACCATAGAATTGTAGTTTAGGGTGTTGGTTTTTGTGGAGGGAATAAAACCCACAAATCAATTAGTGAGAGACCCACCAAACTCTACTTGCATGTGAAGCCCTATCCAGGAAAAAAGCTAAGACCTGGCCAATAGTTGAGAGGTGGCTGCACTACTTCAACTGCAACACCAACACTGATTTGTGGATTACTTTTTTGTATTTTTAAGGCTAATTCCACAGAGAATGAAAATGAAGCATTTGCTTTAATGGTGCAAGGTATTATAGAATGGTTGCTATTCATTTAATTCAAATGACGAGTGGTAGGCTTTCATGGCGAATTAAACTGCAGTGAGCCATTTCATGACTTTGTTCCCTGCTAGCAGAGTCACACCCATTGGCGATGATCCATATTCCCATTGATGATCTGTTTTCCCATGCACACACAATTTTGCCCACTCCAGCAGCCAATCAGAACATTGTTTTTTAGGATACCAAACCAGGAAAAATAAGTGTAATTATTATGTTATTGTAGACCCACCACCAGAGAAGTACTGGCAGTTGCTTGCAGAAGAAAGAAGGATTGCATTACAAGAAGCATTAGAAGAAAATGAAAGGGTAAGAGTTACTTAATAGTAAATCGTYATCAGATTCATATTGACTCATCATATCACAGGGAACCTGGCTCCAGTTCAAAAGCATTATGTATGACTAATATTTCTTGATGGGTTCCCTGTGTCTTTAGTTGAACAGGCCTCAAGCATGATGACGTTAAATACCTACACTTCCAGAATTCCCTTTGGTAGATTCTTTGTTTTGCTAATTATCTTGTATGGTCTTGGTATTCTCAAAGGAGTTTTAACATTGAAAGAAAAAAGATTTTRTAAAGGATTGTGGTAGACTTTTATGTCATAAGGGTGAAGGTCTTTAAGTAAAACACTATGGGCTCCCTGTGGCGTAAAATGAAACCCCAACTGCACTGGAGCTGGGTTCCCTGCTATCACATCAATCAACAACATATTCCAACAAGTATGGCTTAGAAGTAACACAATATTACAAACAAACAACTGTTTTCATTATTCAACAGCTATGCAAGGAGCTAGAAGAACAAAAAGAACTATGCCGTAAACTGGAAGAAGTTGCTGGCCAAGCAGAATATTTTGCTAGCCTTTACCATGTATGTACTACTCAAATGATTTACAGTGAACATTAGATGGACAAGTGGGGACAATTCAGGCCTATTGCTAGAACGTTCAAAGGGAAGGTTCCTGTTTCTACCAATCTTAGTTATGCTATTTCTTGAAAAACTTAAATAGCACTCAACATTATTTTGTACTTCAAAGATGGAGAGGGGGGGTTAGTTTGAACCATCGAACCACTCATAGCGACAGGCCTGCAAATTGTTCAGTTGCACAGCTTTTTCCTTATAGATTGTGGGTAACTTACTTAATAAGACTAAGATTCTTATAGGTCCATATATACTAGTGTGAGATCTCATTGAGTGGTACTGGCATTTAACAAGAGAGTCATACTCCAAAAAATTTACATATGGTTTGAAAGTGGGAAAAAATGCTCATATAAATATTTATTAGCCCAAATTCACATCTCACACTAAAACTATTAACTATGCTCTTGCTCATGCCCTTATAATCTATTTGATCTAACTTGTACTTAATTATTGTAGATGGTYTTAGAAGGAGAGGCTCCTGATCTAGAGGATAGTGACACAGACCATCCTAAAAGGTAACCTTTTTTTCTCGTTAGGCTCCTCTGCATCTGTAATTAGTTTTGGACCCAGACCCTCACAGGCCCTCCCCACTAATGGGTTAGTGAAGAGGATCTGTGACCAAATCTAATGACAGCTGCAGAGGAGAATGTTCCCTATTGATCATCTATCCCATACTTTTTCATGGGAAAGTAAAATCCGTAATAATGTAATRCTATTTAAAACTTTATTTCAGAAGCAACTCAAGAGAATCTAATGCTGATGGTGATTCAGACACATCCTAGTATTTTTGCCTGATTTGATAGCTTCTTAACAGGTACTTAATATTAGATACCTTAAGAGGAATTACAATATTTATTTAACTATGTGTATTTAAGCATCAAGAAAAGAAAYATTGAGATTTTATTTTCATTTATAACAAGCAGTTTTTTTAGGGAAACGTAATGAAATATTCAGCAGAAAGTAGTTAGACAAAGGATAGTTTGTATGTTTGCTTATCTGTATGTAAAAAGAGCAAGACACAGGTCGAAAGATAACTGGTCATTGGCCAGGAATTATGACCAGCCACACAGATATTAGCTTGTGCATACTCCATCTATAAGTATAACTGAACAACATCTAACCAATCAATTTATCCAGTCGAGAACTGGACTAAGAGGTGTTTGGCTAGAAAAGTATCATTTATGGTTGGACTTTGATGGTCCATTGACCATCTGTTATTTTTACTGAGAACTACATTGTACACAAATTTTGCACATCTGATTCTTGGTGCAGCTGATCAGTTTGGATAATATATTTTTGTTTACCCCTCTTCAATATTTATGTAAAGGATCAAACACTTGGGCGAGAGCATTCTTAAAAATAAAGCCTTCAGCCAGCTGGGCCTTTAATTTTAAGAATGCCCTCACCTAAACTAAATTCTACTTCTTTTCATTCATGAAAAAGTATGAAATAAATATTTGTTTTGAAGTATTATGATCATTAAAATAAGGACACATTTTTTGGGGGGACAGTATTTCTAGTTTTCAAGGTTTATAAACATTATTCAATTTACGAATGAAAAATCCTATTTTAAAATCACATTTTACAGTACTATGTTGATGAAAACTAACAGTCGGTTTCATAATTTGTTTTTATTTCCATAATACATGCTATTTCATAGCAGTTTATTGGCATTTTCTTATTTGGTAAATATGTACATGAGATATTTTACTTTACAGTTGTGCGAGACATTTACAAATTTAAACTCCACATTATATTACAAAGAATGTTATTTTACATAGATTTCATCTATCAAGCATGCATTTAATACCTGCATTTCAGAAATAAACTACTGTTGCATGAAAGCATAAAATTATGCCATCCTAAGACCTAAATTAGTGGTCATGATAAACACTTGCTTGCAAATCTTTTGTTTAAAGACAAATACTTCACTTGTCAATAAAATAAATGGTAATTTTTTTTCATTTTACAATAAACATTATTGGTAAAATGAATACAATGCTGTCCCCTAGAGGACCCTTAGAGAGCACCCATAATTTATGGTGTGGGGGATTATGGGGAGAATCTTGGGGTTACCCCTCACCCAAAAAAGACATATTTTAATTGAGGCCTTCCCAAACCACAGACATGTTTGGCACCCGGCTGGCTGATTCCAAAGAGCCGTGTGCCAGACCTGCACTTTCCAGTTGACTTACTTCTATGTTTTGGCAACCAATTAGAACATGTCTTAGTGTCGTGTTCACCTTAGATGCAAATGACTGTTTTGTTCAAACCAACATGGCTGCCGAGTGAAAAAAGGTGATTAGTTGGGCTCCTTCCTTTGGACTAAATTGCATGTAATACAGGCACACTGGTAATGAGAAGACCAGCCTTTTACCAAGACCTGGAAGAATGCTAGCTTCATTTTAGTTAATGCACTCTAGTACACTGATCCATTAAAGTCACCTACTTATAAAACTAAGTTCGAAAATATATTATTCAATTATGGGTGAATATTTCACTATAAACACTATGAACACTACAAACACTATAAGTGTGTAACATAAATACCACTAAATACTGCTAAATTATGCTAATCCTATTGTTTTCTATTGTTTAATTAGCACTATTTACTAGTGCAACGTGGTGCACACTTTTAGTGTTTGTACTCTATTACACGTTGACTAACATTTTTTATTTCACAGGTTAAATGCCTTTACTCTATTCATTTATTAGCTTTTCCCCATGAGGGCAGGGACACCACAACAGCTTTTATGCCAATTACAGTGAGCCCTGTAGAGTCTTAGCACGGGCACTGAAGATGGTTGTCACCAGCGTCTTCAGTGGATCTTTTACATCCGCCTTATGCAGGGTTATATAGTGAAGACAGACGGGGCCTACGGTTTGAAGGTCTAACCATTTGCAGATAATAATTACAAAGGCAGCACCTTCTGCTCAGTTATTTTAAGACCCTGAGTGTTGGTCTGGCTGAGGCTTGAACTACAACCTCCCGCAAAACAGACCGATGCTCTTACCAACTGAGCTAATCGGGTAATCCAGTCTTTTATAATTTGAAAGTGTACTCTTTTCAATTCAAACTCCTACAATCCTTTGTCTAATCTCTTTCCATATGAGAAACCTTTCCTTTTCTGTTCTGGATGTGACATCTCTGTTTTCTAAAGCCCTTCTTACTAGGTATAGTAAGGTTGTGTCCACAGGACCATAAGGAACAGATTTGTAAACTTCATAGCCCTTATGACCTGAAAATTGAATGGATTAATAATAATGATTAATATATAAAAATTAGTAATCAAATAAAATTGCTATATTAAAAAAATTTTCAAAAATTATTTTGCTAAAAAAAATTAACAAAATCAAAAACCAAATGAGATAGTCATTCGAAATGTAAAACAATAAGTAAATTATTTGACAGCTATGAAAAAACTTTTGTTCAAGCTTTATAAATAGTACATAAAATATGTAACATCTTGTAAACAATTTTTGTGACTAGAGTGCAAACAATATAACCGTGAAACTTTAGTAATACTAAATAGCACAATTTCATGCAAATTTCATTGATAACTTAGTAATTATTAGTATTTCAYGGATTAATTGTTTGCAATCTAAAAACCTTATTTGAATTTTTTGTCAAATGTACATCATGTGTAGATACCTAGAAGATATGACACTTGGTCACACATCCCATACAGCTGTGCAAAGGACACTCCTGCATCTCTTTTCTCAATCCCTAACTCTATCATCCTGAAATATCAATCACCACGTATTAACAATATTACATTATTTGTACAAGTTGTTGTCCTTGTACAAGCCAAACAACTGTTTTTACTAGACAACTTTTTTTGATCTGGTAAAGCCGATCAACAAATTTTCCTTGACAATTTTTGTTGGATAAATTTTCCTTGCTTGTCTCTGTAAACAAGGACACTTTACAAGTAAAAACTTGCTACTTTCCTCATCTACAGGAGCATATAAAACTTGTCAAGGAAACCTTCCTGTACAGGCTAGGGTCAATGGAGCTTTAGTAGCATGGTATAGCTAAATACCTGCTTGTTGCCAACTGTATAGATTCTTCATTGTGTGAAGCCACCATAACTTCAGCTGGAGAGTAAGCTACTTGCCGCAAGATGATTTCCAGTGCTGTATTGTATGCCTTGCAGGTTTCCTCATAGGAGTCATAGATTGGATATTCATATCCTAGTTCAATTGAACGAATTTTTTCTTGTTGTCTATAGGCACCTCTCACCAACTTTGCTCCAAAATGAAATTTATCATCAGACATCATTTCTAGATCAGCTTCTAGCCTGTCCAAAGTGTCCTTAAAAATTATGGAAACAAGTAAAGAAATATCAATGCTGGCATGCTTTTAATACAATCAGACTTAAAAATATTTCCTTGTATACATTATCTAATATACACTACGGTATTTCAAAAAAATGTTGTTGGCCAGAGTTCTGAAATCTGAGGTGAGTAACACACTGCAAAATGTAATATATTCTCATCAGCCGAACAATGTTAGTTTCCTTTTAGATTGGAATATGAAGCATGACCTTTGAGTTCAGAATGTGATTTTTCACATTTTAGCCCGAAAACATAAGCAAAAARAAGATCCATTAAGTCTCAGATCGCCCATTTCAGGTCTCTGACCGACAATGTTCTTAACAATAGGTGACGCAGTATACAATATGTCACGATAATGACTAGTAAGTAATTGTTTAAGGGACGATGGTGATGTAGATTGCCTGAGCTCTGTGGGCAAATTATTATTATTTACAATTATTGTTGTTCCATAATGGAATTAAACGATTGAAGAAAGAGGAAGCAAAGGTCTATGCATAAAATCAGAATTAAAAAAAACGTTTTAGTATTACTTCCACTCTGGCAAACTTTGGGAAAACTCATAATCTGCTCACATATTTTTGTCCACCTTTGAGACCTACAACATTTTAGTTCTTGGGTGACAAAATGCCGCTGCTCTAATTGCAGGACTTTATTGGATCTTTCTTATGTAGTTTACATGCAGTACACGTTATTATTTGTTTCGGTGAATTTATTTATTTATATACATTTTTGTAATTTTATTGGGAGACTATCCTATAGGTAGTATCACCTGTCTAGTTYTCAACAGTTTGTTGGAAGCATCATAAATAAATAAATATAAATTTTCGTATTTTCTTTGATATTCATGAAGTCTAAAATTATACTAAAACGATCATTCCCCACAGGCTCAGTGAATATGGGGAACATTTACCTTCTGGCTTGGTTTATAAATATTTCCCAATATTCACTTGGCTTTTGGCAAATTAATCTAACCTTCCTATAGCACTGGTATGTTCCATATACCCAGGGTTTCCATGTGTTGTATTTACTCTGCAGGGCCAAGATTAGGTGATGATTACCGCCTTCCAGGTAGTACTGCTCAGCATCAATTAAAAGTCTGACATTTTTACTTTTGCAGTGCTGTTCAACCAAAAACAAAAAAAAACAAAACAGTTTACTATATATTGCTTAATTATCAAAGGTATATAGACAATTTCAAACTCTTTTGAACCTTCCTTCAGATCACTGGTTTGAAATTTCAACTGTGCAAAATAAAAATAAAATTTCGACAAAATCCCCGGGGGGTACTCCCCTATATTTGCTATATGAGTATGTGCCGCCCTATAGGGTATGGTTTTTCGGCTTTTGGGTCTGGGGTAGGGTATCATTTTTTGACATTTTGTCTGGGATAGGGTATCATTTTAGTCTGGGATAGGGTTAACGATTTGGTCGTTTTTGTCACTGGCGAATCAGGCTACGCTTTCTGCCGACCAAAAACAATAAAAATGTTAGTAAATATTGATTGCAATCGATTGTAAAACTGTATTTTCCATCTTTTAGTCTGGGATAGGGTGTATAATTCTTAGTTTTAGTCTGGGGTAGGGTATGTAAAATCAAAATTTTAGGTCTGGGATAGGGTCAGGGTTTTAAGGTCCTGGCGGCACACCCCTACCCAAGTTGGGGTGGTAGTACCCCCACGGGACAAAATCTTACATTCAATTCAAGACCCAATATTCTGGTGGCTATAATACACAAGGGAAGACGACTTACCTTGGCAAAAGAGTCTAGTCTTCTTAAAGAGTTCTTCAAGTGCTTGTTTTGGTTTTCTGTCAGCTGAGGTACCAAGTTGTGGCTCTATAATTATATAAAGTTAGTAGTTAGAAATCAATTTCTTGATTTCCTTTGACATCATTCCCTGTCTCGTGAAAATAATTTATGTTCATCAACTGAATTGCAGTTTCAATAGGATTATTTCCAACAGACAGTAGTCATGATGGTCAATGACTAATTCAAAGCAGATAATGAGATTCAAAGACTTTTATCAGCTGATGAAAATCAAGAAGTTCCTTAGTATCAAACATTGATTTGCTTTTGAAATACCCCTGATAGCACTATCATTGGGTGTGTCAGTGGGTTTTGTGTCAAGCCAGAATTATGCAGTTTCGAATATAAACCTGTATAATATGTTACGCACCGGTGTTGCCTCATCAAGTCCTCTTGCAAAATTTCTCACGCTAAGGCCATCAGGTTTGTATGTCTGTGTTTGATATGGTTGAAGTAGATCATTTAAGGCTTTCTACATGAGAAAATAAAATGAAAAGATACAAGAATTTTATTTTTGACATGAAATAATGTCAGTGTCCGTTTCTCATTCCTCTTTTGTAAGCTTAGGATTCAAGATGGGGAAAGAATTTTGAAGATTCTTTCCTCTGCCAGGGGGGGGGGGGGTACTCCCCTATATTTGCTATATGGGTACGTGCCACCAGACAGGGTATGGTTTTCAGCAATTCTTCTCTGGAACAGGGTATATAAAATCGCGCTCAATCTGGGACAGGGTATATGAAATCACGCTCTCTCCTCTCTGGAACAGGGCATCCATTCAGTTTTTGCAATACCGGAACAGGGTATGATTTTCAGTGATCTTGCTCTGGAACAGGGTATGATTTTCAGCAATTTTACTATGGAACAGGGTCAGGGTTCAGTGGACTCAGTGGCACATCCCTACCCCAAACAGGCAAGAGTACCCCCCTGGGTATGATAGACAGTTGAGGATAACCAATTATAGCTCAAAATATCTGGAATGGCAGAGGAATGAATAGCAAGGTTTGGAAAACATGCAAAATCTGTCACCATCAGGGGGTTTTGTATTAATTCAATCATTAGCTTTAGATGTAGTAATACTAAGCATTAAGTTCAAATTTTCAACTTATATCTTACCAAGACTGAAGGGCTGCATATTGCACTAACTCTCATTTGAGAAAAAGTACCAGTCTCTTTAAGATAAAATAATATGTAAATCAACAGCATAATAAATCAATAAGAACCTATGACAACTGTCTGAACTAATATGCAGAGAAACCAACACACATACTAATTGGTGAGAATTTGGATGGAAGGATGGATAAATAAATGCCGCGTGGATGAAATTATGAATGGAGGGTGGGTGGGTGGAAGTTAGAATGGATACGTAGATGTGGGGTGGATGAAAGAATTGGAGGGTGGATGGACAGAGAGATTTTTTTGGATGGAAGGATAGATGTGGAAGGATGGATGGATGCATGTAATGGATGGATGGAAGTATGGATAGATATGGGGTGGATTAATGAATAGGAGGATAGATGCAATGGATGGAAGAAAGGATAGAAGAAAGGATAGATGTGGGATGGATGAATGAATAGGAGGGATGGAAGGATGAATGAATAGAAGTCATTAGGAACCATGCATTTTTTATCAGGAAGGAAGGGGGTGGGATTTGGTTGGTAACCCATAATAATAGCTGACTCCCCTCCTTTGTTGAATAAAAAAAAATATTTTGTTTATTGTAAGAGTGCTGTATGACTCAGCTTTTTGTGTGCCCACCACTCTTGAGCCAGATTTTTTTAAATGTCCCCCTCCCCCCCTTAATCCCAACCTCTCCCCCTCCCCAGTTATTCCATGCAATACATGTGATGGGAAAAAATCTATGCCAATAAATAAATAWAAATAAATAGCAATTTACCCGTTTTACTTATGCAATCATGAATAACCTCTGAATTTCTGTCGAAACGAGCCTCTCTATTAAGATACAAAATTAAATTAACTTGATAAGGAAATAATGTAAGACATATAGTCTATAAAAKAATAGAGTGCAAACAATCCGTGAAACACTAATTACTAAATAGTACAAAATAGTGCTAATTAAACAATAGAAAACAATGGAATTTGCATGRAATTGTGCTATTTAGTATTAYTWAAGTTTCACAGTTATATTGTTTGCATTCTATTAGGAGGGAGTTAATTAGTTTACTTTCTCATTCATTCAATTGTTTATTCATTCCTTCAATGTACCTGCTCTCAAATCCATCTGTGTCTGCATCAGTGTAATCCTCTTCTGTCGGCACACACATAATTGTCCCAATACCTTGTGCTTTCAAATTGTCAACACTATTTTTGATGGAATCATAATCTTCTCCAGCTACGAACTGACTGTACATGGTTTTTTTCATCAAGCTTTTAAACATTTTCTTTCCAAGAACTTTTTTAGCAAATTCCATCATCTTCAAAACAATGAAAATAACATTCAATTGGTAGCCAAGGAAGACAAAGAAATACTCTACAGTTTTTAAAAGTATAAGCTGTTGTTCAAATATTTTTTTTAGAGAACTAAAGCTTTTCTCAACTTAGTCCAGTCCAGGACTCGATAGATGCACGCTACTTATGAACCATTTCTTCAAGAAAAAAATAAAAAGCTGTGATGTGAGAACAAGCCTCAACCAATCCTGCCTTGCAACCCAAGCAGTGGGCGCAGTTGATTGTGCRTTCCTTTTAAGTGATGATCCAAATTGGTATCAACAGGGGAGGTGGAACCGGGGGGCCGGGGGGCATGTGCCCCCCTACAACTTTTTTTGGGGTGGCCTGGCCCCCCACAAAATATTGGTTCACATGAAATATAAATGCATAGATTCGATTTTTAATACTGTTATTAAGTTATTGTTGTGATTTTTTCCAGTGCTCCCCCAAAGATTTTTTGCAATGCCCCCCAAAGATTTTCAGCTTCCGCCGCCCCGGCCTGATCAAAGCATCGTTCATGCGCTGAGAATGRCGCACCTTTTCTAAAACAACAAACTTGTTTGCAATTATATGGTCTTGAACTGCTAGTGTGTAGAAACTGGTTTCCAAAACCAAGTAGCAAAGGACATCAGTAGAGGCAATCCGGGTTGAAGCGCTTCCTTCAATCAAAATAGGGTCGATTGCAATCGTCGATTAAGGGCCATCCTTTTTCAGGAATCGTTGCCTACTAACATGGCTGACAACGAGCGAACCGTAGAAGAGGTAAGAACATGCATAATAGGTAAATTACGAGCCTTGTGGAAGAGGTAAGCTTATTACTGAGAAAATATCGTATRTTCATGAATCGCGTGACTTATTATTAAGCTGCACCAACATGGCGGCGATAAAACTTGTGACGTCACATGAATACGAGTTTGTATACAATGGGACGCAAAATACAAGTGTCGTATTCTATGCTGTGAAAACAGCAAAAGCGAAAATATAGATCTTTTATCGTTATCAGAAGTGCTTGACTATTCTAAATAAAGTAAGAATACTTTCAATGTGGGCAAAGATGTGTTTATTTGACGATTTTTTTCAAAAATCAAAAACTCCCGGGTATCTAGTATTTTGATATTAGATCCACGGTGCAGGGCATCTAGACACTCGTAAAAATAAAATGAAGACTTACCGGTAAACTATTTTTTACCAAAAATTCGTAAGAAGAGAATTTGAGAACGAAAAGAGCCCGAGCCAATTCACCCATTTTCTTGCTCTCGAAGACCCGATGGTTGTTATTGAATTCCACCGTGCCACTTTCTTCTTCGAAAGAACTCGTATTCGAGTGGAAGCTGCGTATAGTGAAACTTTGCTGAAACTTGAAAAGTTGACGGCATGTTTTGACTCGGCCTGAGTGCCGTAACAAGAGAAAAGAAGACATTTTTAGGTAARAATGAGCCGTCTGAATCGGCCGCTGTAGTATCAATACGCAGTACTTATTAAAGTCGGTCATTCAGGGAAAATCCTGTTTGACTGAATTATTTTGCCAGAAATAACCGGTTTACAATACGCAAATATGTAAATATAAAAGTCAGCCATGTAGGGAAAATCCAGTTTGACCGCATTATTTTGCAAGGAATAACCGGTTTATAGGTTTAGCATGTTGTGAGGCGCCATGAATTTATACGCTGGTGTACGAGAAATAGTCTTATGTTGTATGTATAGAGCTATTTCTTAAGATTATTTGTTGTGTTTTTCTTTTTATCACATTAGCATGTTGCAGAAAGTACTATAAAGTACACCTACTAGAGTACATACACTAAAAGTGTGCAATAAGAGAAAAATATCAAATGCCTTTGCCGATCATGTGTTAACCACAATACCACAAGGACCAACCAGGGTACTCGTGAGGTTCCTAGAGCGATATTTTTTCTCTATAGGTAAGTTGAACACCGTAAATATGTACGCAACTTAATGATATTTATATTGCACACTTTATGGTGTTTGTACTCTAGCATGGGCTGTAGCAGAATATTTGGTTTGTGACGGGGAAAATGTTTGTTAGTAAACCAAATATATCACTAATTACTCACTTGGATCTGTCTATACATATTTTATTGATTGTTACGTTGGTCTTCGATGAATAAATATAAATTAAATAGTCTTTTTACCTCCTTAATGCTATCCAATTTCTCCGTAGTATGTTTGTTTACAATCTGACATTGGCTTTCTATACCACAGGTAGCCCAAGCGTTAGACCTGACACTTTGTGATTAAGGTTGGGTTCCCTGTGTGATGTGACCTAGGAACCAAACCGTAAACAAAATGGCGGACGTCAACAAAGAAACCAAAGTCGATTAATTAAGCTTTTAAACTTCACAAAATCCTGTTCTCTGTATATTTTGAAATACCATGACTTAAGAAGTATCATGGGCTCTCCTATGACTACATCATCTTGAACATTAGGAGCAAAAGTAAGGACGATTTTTTGTTGAAAATGGCGGCAGTTGATATGATTTTGAAGACTCTGATGTGTTCAAGAGAGTTTAGAGAATCCAATGATAAGAACTGGGATGCGGTAGCTAAATTAATACCAGGTTCGACGCCAAAACAGGTATGCTTATTTAAAGCTTAACTTGACCATACTTTATACATTTTTTTGGTTGTCAGACAGACCTTTAAAAGAAAGCTGTCTGACGAATTAGGGTCAGCTCGCGTAGCACAGCCAGGAGGGAAAAGCCACCAATGCTTTCCTTCCTTCCAGAAAAAAGGGTTTAAGAAAATCAACACTTTGAATTYAAAATCTATTTCCGTTGATAAAATTTCCAGCTGCCTGAGTTGTCAAGAGTGGCACTTGCTAAACAAGAGGGCTTTAGTTAATCTTCTGTGATCTCATGCTGTGATATAGTATAGTTTTTATTACTTTTTAGTGTTCGATAAGATGGAATGAGCTTCAGTCAATTATGCCGATCCATGGCATGGGTTCAGTGTTAACGCAGAACACTCAACAGGTGTTGTCTAAACTATTAAAGTCTAATCTGATTGAGAACGAGGAATCAAAGAAAAGTACAAAGACTAACAAGAAAACAGAAAATGTGAATTCATTTCAAGCAGAATCCACAAAATGGTTGGACCAAGAAAATAATAATGGAGAAAGAGCAGGTTAGAAACCTGACACATAATACATCAATATATAGTTATTATACAAATTGATGGGTTGCAAACAAATCTCAAGTGAGTGAAAAAACAAAAACTTGGCAGCCATTGTGGTGCTAAAAAAATTTTTTTTTATTGACACCAACGCTCCCCTGAGAGGCTGCAATGACATAACATGCAATCGAAGAGTACTTGATCAATTATTGAGTTACATAAATCATTCCTTTAAATTTTGATTAACATGAATTCCTTATTTTATACCTTATTCTACTGCCAACAGAAGAAGAAATAGATAGGTGAGTCCATTTATTGCTACTCTTGGAGCAGCAAATCATAGAAGTATTACTCATCATTCCACTAACTGTGTTACTTTTTATTTAAAGRAGCTTATCAATGAAGGATCAAGGTGAAAATGCTGATCAGGTGAATTTCTCTTTTATATTAAGATGATATTTTTGGGAATTGTTTTACTAATATGTACTTATTGACTGAGTGGGAGGGCCGTACAGGAAAATATTTGGCTCGAGGTGATGCCGTACGGACCAAGCGCAGCGAGGTCCGTACAAATGACCGAGAGCCAAATATTTTCTCGTACGGCCCGACCTAACTCAGTCAATAAGCATTTTATCAYATGACCCTCACGAAAATAAAAATAATTWAAAAAAAGAAAGCGCGCGGATTCGAGCAGGGCCAGACGGGTTTTTCCGGCCCGCTTACGTCAACCCGTCCGGCCCCCATCACGTGACTTTTTCCAATGGTTTTATTAGAGCGCGYGAGCAGGGCCGTACGGGTCATATGATAAATACATACAACACCCTAAATAGGCCATCAAAAGAGCCACAGGGTTGTGCTAAACTTTTCTTTTGTTTGTCATATTAACGTTACCTTTAATCTAATTCAATTGATTTTATTTTTAAGAAAATTCATGAGATTCAATCTCGACATTCTTCAATATCTTTTAAATCTGGAAGGGGATCATCACTGTCACAAGGGTGAGGAATTTTCTTTCTTTTCATGGTGCAACATGGTACTCTACATTTTAGAAGCATGGATGGATTTTAGCCTACTTTGCCAAGCTGTCTGCAACAGAAACTATAGATAACTAAATCTTACTGTTCATTTTCTTATCCAGTTGATGTTTAATTTCCTTCTTTTTYCCCCATCAGACCAAATATGGTTATTCATGTCTGTGATGAAAGCAAGAACTGTGAGTAACTTGTCAATATTATTATTAGACTGATTTAGTCTAGTATATTGTTTTCCTATTTAAAACCTGATTTAAAGACTGATTTAGTCTAGTATATTGTTTTCCTATTTAAAACCATTACTTTATTTACTAGTAGCACTGAAAAGATTATACCAGTATTGAATACAATGGTGTTCCAAAATTCATGGTTCCTCTCCCTGTTGCTATGTCATACATGCTCAATATATTAACTAGAATATCTCAGAATTCAAAACTCTAATAACAGAAAATTGGTTATAAATTGTTTCTATTATTATCTGTCTTTTGTAAATAAAATAAAATTGCCTCGTAATCTTTGTAGTCCTCTTAAAGCGGATATCGTAATCCCGGGGGAGGGGGCTCTCTTGAAAAGTGGGTAGGGGGGATCGACGGACGGTTTCGAAAATGACCCTAAAAGGTACGCATAAATTAACTGAGATGCTGATTTCAGACCCTAAAAGGTACGACCATATTTAAAATGACAACGTTTCCAACCATTATATTCTTGTATGACGTTTGATATTTTTCAAAACGAACAAATCTGAACCTAAAAGGTATGGAGTCAGCCAGGAGTCAGCCAGAGACCCTAAAAGGAAYGCGAGGTCTCATTTTTGACACTTAAAGGTCCATCGAGCCCCCCAACCCACTTTTCAAGAGAGTCCCCCCCCACCGGGATGGTAATCAAATCAAAGTTGTTTGTGGGACAAGATTTTAATTCCACTGGGAAAACTGCTGCAAAGGTGATTGGTTCGCTATTGTCAGAGAGGGAACCATTAATTCTAAAGTTAAAGATATGATTTATGTTTCATCAAGCACATTTTTCTTGAAAAAATAATTTGAGGAAAACAACAACAAAAACACCTTTAGTTAATACTAAAGTTCTTTTCATTTTTTACTATTAAAAGTAAAACAAGACTTCACTTGTCCAAGAGATTTGTTGATTAAAGAAATGAAGTACTTTGCTGAGTATTTATCAGTGGAAGCACAGCGCTGGGAAGAAGTAGATATCTCAGTACATTGTGATGTACAGATTTTTGATTGGCTAATGAAGTATGTTAAAAGAGGGTTAGCAGATGAGGACGAAACACACCCTAAACTAGGTGAGTAGTGGTCAAATCTTTGCCAGATAGTACATGGCAGAAGCTAGACTCCTCTTAAGACAACTTCATGTCTTTGGGTTCTTGTGTAGTACCACACCACAGGACTCCTATAAGAGGGAGTAGCTTACACAGGAGGGTAGGCAAAGATAATCAAAATTTAGCTTTACTTTGAACCAATTACATCAAAGTAAGTTATTTGATGGTTTGATTCTYGTATCTCGGATTAAGTCTTACAACTTTCAATTACTTGTCTTAATAACAACTTTCTTTTTTTTCAGAACCTAATAATGTCATCTCAATACTTATATCCTCTGATTTTCTAAAAATGGATAGTTTGGTAAGTTTCAAAACAAAATTATTAGTGGAATCATTTTGAATGACCCTATAATCCAAACCAGCAACATTGCAAATATATCTTAGTAAGAGTATTTCCAAAAAGCTTTGCAGATGTAGTGAGACTGCAAGATCATCTTGTCATAGGGAATCAAGAGTGGTATACAGAGAATCCTGGGGGGTACTCTTGCCTGTTTAGGGTAGGGATGTGCCGCTGAGCCCACTGAACCCTGACCCTGTTCCAGAGTAAAATCGCTGAAATTAATACCCTGTTCCAGAGTAAGATCGCTGAAAACCATACCCTGTTCCGGTATTGCAAAAACTGAATAGATGCCCTGTTCCAGAGAGGAGAGAGCTTGATTTCATATACCCTGTTCCAGAGCGACCGCAATTTTGTATRTGTACCCTGTTCCAGAGTAGAATCTCTGAAAACCATACCCTGTTTGGCGGCACGTACCCGTATARCAAATATAGGGTAGTACCCCCCTCCCCCCTTCCCCCCGGGCAGAGAATGCACTTGTGTTTCACCTCTGGGGCCTAGGGTTTAATTCCAGGTCTTTGTTTCAAATGTGAGCATAGTTGACTGTTGAGTATCTCCCTTGATTCAAGGGTTTTTTCTCTTTGTCTGGTCTTCCTCCCTCTAAAAAAAGGGCATAAATAATTGTAATATTAATTCCAAGTTTGAGTTAGTTGTTGCTGTGACCTGACTTAGATTAGCTGAAATGTTTTTCCAGGATAGGATAAAATCGATAGTCGCATCATCCTTCACCATATTTGTTTAATTTTGCAATTATTATAATATTAATATTTTATCAATATATAAATTCTAGGACCTTAAACCTTTTTTCAAGTAATAATAATATGATTCTCTCTGCAGGTTACAGAATGTATTGAGTACTGCCATAAGAACATGTCAGCTATCGTCGCTACACCTTGCAATATGAATTGCATCAATGACAAACTTGTAACCAGGTATCACTTAGCTAGATCTAACTAATTAGGAGTAATAGTTATTTGTGGACCCAAATGATACCCCATTTTCCCTAGGGGGGACTCTGATTGGACAAGGGGAAATGCCTGTCGTATCTCTTAGGGCTCCAGATCTGTGGTTTGGTTACCACTTCTGGTGTCACAAATCTCAAAGAACCACCAGTTAGTAAGCTGGTACCTATCACAGCATTTGTCAGGAAATAAAGATACTCGACTTTCAGCTGGAATGACAGTCATAAATCAGGACATTTATTTTCAGTTCATCTATGTTTTCATTGGGAAAGGGGGAGGTATACATATATTTGAGTAGGTTAGATAAACCAGAACAACTGACTTGTGTTTTGAATCTTCAGGATTTCAGATCTTTTTAACCACAATGAGTTGGATGATATTAAAGATCGCAAAGATAAGTTTAAAAGGTGCCGACTTCAAGCTGTAATCATGATAACAATAATTATTATATGCTAGTTTATATCAATAAATGTCTTAAATCTTCCAGAATACCAGTAAGTACCCTAATATCACTAGGGAGATCTATAATGGTAATTGACCTGAGTAGAGTGCAATTTGGTCTGAAATCAAATGAGTGTTTACAAAATTGCACACTTGCATAGGGTAGCCTGCGCTGCATCCAGATTTTTCTTTGTAAAGTCTGTCTGTGAATCAGCTCTCCACAAACCTCGTTCTATAGACCCCCTGTGAATGGTGCAATTATATATAATAGATTCCGATTGGCTCTCAGTTAAATTCATTCWTACATGAGCTCGCATTGGATAACACCATCAAACCCGATGTAATTTTTCCAGATATTCGTAGCTGTGAGTGATGTGGAGTTTCTCAAGTTTTTTTCTCAAAATGGTGTGATTCCTGATTAAATCACACTGCTGAGAGCCAATCAGATTGCACAAATCACCAGTGATTTCAAAATGGATATAATTAATAATCTAATTATTTTTGCAGTAAATTGTATTGCAAGAAGATAGAAGACCTCTTTGATCCTGACAAACTGACGTTGTGCTCACCTGGTAATGGTAGCACTTTGTACAGGTAAAGAACATCCTCTAACACTAATCTAGTCTGTGATAAAGGAACTACAGTTTTTTGATCTCATTTTTTACTAAATGTTGCTTGAAATATTCTTTATTTGAAAGATGTTCAGCATGTATGAAGCTACTCACAGTGGACTCAGAAAAGAAATTCCACTGTGTCCCCAAAAGGTAAGATGCTATGTAATTCAGGATTGTGATGTTACCTAGTGTTGGTATTCACAGAGTATCATATCAATCTACAACGAGGTGCAAATAAACTAAACTTGACTGTAGTTTCTGTTTGATTACAGAATGATGATAGATTATAGAGGGCGTGTTTCATACAGTCATATACGGTAAGAAAGGAATTGCTTTGTGCAAACAACAACCATGTTGAGTGTGTCCACTGTACTGATGATTGTTGGTGTTCCCTCTAGTGAATAATATGTAACATCTATCTGTTTTCTATGTAGTGACACTGGTTGGAATGTTAATGACTATGTACAAGGATTACGAGAAAAGCTGAAATCTTGGAAGGAAGTTTACTGGAGGTATACCCTCATTATAACCCATGATATCCTTGTTTGCCTGTCCAACTATCTCTTCCCATTCTACTTCCCCTAAACCATCCCTAATCTATCCTTCCTCCCCAACACATCCTTCTATGGTAAGTTTCCATTCTTCCTTTTACCTAACACCTTTCTTCCCACACACCAGTCTATCTTTCCCTCAACCCACCCTTCCTTACCATACACCAGTCTATCTTTCCCTTGACCCACCCTTACCATACACCAGTCTATCCTTTCCTTGACCAACCTTCCTTCCTTACCATACACCAGTCTATCCTTCCCTTGACCCACCCTTCCTTACCATACACCAGTCT